TATATGGGTGTGTGTGTGTGTATACTGTGGTACCTCGAGATACGAGAGGAACGGCCATGTAAGCCCTTCTCGTCCTCGACAATGCTCCTGTTCATCCACCAAATTTCGCACATGACATCCTCGAAGAGTTCAAGTTTATAAAATTTCTCTATCTGCCACCTGACACCACTCCAATCCTGCAGCCCATGGCTCAGCAGATGATTTCTAATTTTAAAAAGCTGTATCCTAAGCACCTGTTCCGGCGCTGCTTTGAGGTAACAGAAAAACACAAACCTCACCCTTCGAGAGTACTGTAAGGACCACTTTAACATCGTGATATGCCTCTAAATTATTGATTAGGACTGGCTGAGTGTTACAACGAGGACTTTGACCTCTGCATGGAAGAAGCTGGGGCCTGAGTGAGTCTGTAGCCGAAAATTGTGCTGTGGCCTGAGTCTGTAACCTGAGTCTCTATCTTCAAAGGATATCCATGGACCTGGTGATGGGTGACAGAGACGTGAACGAGCTCTTCGAGGAGTACTCTCAGGAACTGACGACCGAGGAATTACAAGAGCTACAGTCGCAGCAGCATTCAGGGGTTCTGCAAGAAATTGGTTTCGAAGAAGAGCCAGAGGTGGAGGAGGTTAACTTTACAAGTGAGATGAGAGAGTTTTTGGGAATGTGGGAGAGAATTTCACTGTTCGTGGAGACAAGAAACACCCCGAAAAAGTTGCAGCTGGTCGGAGCTATTGACATTTGCCTATCTCATTTCTCTAGCATTCTCAAAAGGAGGAAGAAAAAAACCTCCTTGGACAGAATATATATTGTATTGTATTATTGTCTTACTTTATTTTCCATTATGGGGCACTGTCGTTTTTGAATTTACCACCGACAACAGAGAGGCATGTTGGCAAGGCTGTGTGTGCGTCTTTTGCTAACATGCGGATCTTTTGATTTCTTTTTGTTTGTATTGAAATTCACACATTTTTATTTACATTGCTTAATTAAGCCAATTTGGTTTTAGTTGCTTTTTAGCTCCTTTCCATTTTGACTAATTGTTTTAAAAATAAATTTTTTTATTAATTTTTGTTTAATTTTATTTTCATACCTTGATTATGTGTACTGTTATGTGTACTGTGATGTACTATGAAATATTCTATCTATGTAATCTATTGAAAGTAGGAAACTCAAAGTTGGTGGGAGAGAATCCAAATCAAACATGCTTGGTATGTTTTATGTTGCATTTTTCACGTAGTAAGTTCTATTTTCGTTTAATTTCTTTTGGTGCTACTCACACTATTGTATTTAGTCTATCTAGTATTGTATTAGTTATACACTTTGCTTTATAGATTTTTAAATAATATTAGCAACCACTCTTTTTGCGGGTATAATCGTGGGAGCTGATGAGGATTATGTCTTTTCCTTATTTTGTTTTCCAGCTTTTTATTTTTTAAAAATATCTTTTAAAATCAATTTTGTTAATACTTTGTTCTCTTCTCTCTCATCAATTATTTACGTATTTTGCTATGTAATTTTAAATTAATTTCTAAAGTATGCATCTTGCTTATTTGATTAATAAATTTTTTTTTGTTTGAAAATATGTTTTTTTATCAATATTAACCTTCATTCTTTTATCTAACAAACTCATGATGTATTCATTTTCAATGATCATGAAATACGATATCCGTGTTAAAAAAAAAGGAAAGAAAATGCACAGATAAGTAAGATAAATCAATTCAAACCTGTGAGGGTACCAAGACAATAAGTGGTCAAAATAATCTCCATAATCAATCTTGCCTGATACGAAAAGCTCAAAGAATTGATCGAAGGTTCCATTGAAGTTATGCCCGGGTAAATTTCTCATATGATGGAAATAGGAAACACAGCAGTCCTTCGGATTTCTTGTTACGCATATGTATTTGGCATCTTTCGAAAAAGGTGTCAGGTGAAACGGTAAATGAGTTTTGATAGGACCTGGCCTCATCATTTTATCGACGAAATCGACACCTTTCAGAAATAAAGAATTATACAATTACTAAATGCAGGATAAAATACAGATTAATGCAAATAGTGATTGCAAATTAAACTGCATAGCTATTTAACTGGTTATTGTAGATTGTAATAAAGAGTTATTAATACGAAAAACAGATAGTTAATTATTTTGGTCACACTTTCAAATGAGAATGTCTCGTGAAACATAGATGTTATTACAAAGGAGTTTCAACGTACTTCAAAGTATTTTCGACGTATTTTCAAAGTATTTTCGACGTACTTAATTTCTTATAGGAAATAAAAACATTAAACAATTAAAAATTTCAAGTATTTGATAATTTCGCATTTTTTTAAAATTAAATAGTCACTGTCGAGAAAGGCATAAAAAGTTTAAGGTGAAACGATTAAATTCGAAAAAAAAAATGTTTTAGAATAACAAACTGTAAATATGAATAAACATTTCTTAATTATTACCTTACATTAAATGCAAGTTTGTCTCCTTAACCCTTTCGCGCAGACTGTCACAAATACGTGCCAGCATAAAACCGTATCAACCAACCAGGGTAAAGAGATAAAACTGGTAATCAAAGTAATTCTATAACAGTTTATTTGTGGGCGGGGTGATAATTGTTTGATTTATTTAATTCACCATTACTTAGTTCAAATTAAAATGATTTAGTTATTCTTTGAACTAACATTGATTATATATACATATGATTAAACTAAGAATTAAAGTCAAAACAAAGTAAGTCCGTCAAATTAGCAACGCCTACATTTAAGCTACCGTTTCTTAATTATTTACATCCTGCTTTTGAACAAATGCTTTTATGAATCACCCGTTCCCAAGGGGTTAAAATAATGAAGTAGTTGCTACAATTCTAAAGTAATTTATAGTTACTACACTTTTAAGAAAAGTAGTTGTAGTTAAGTACATTTATAACATATTAGTTGTAGCTGTAGTAAACTACAAAAATAATGTCGCTTTTCCGACCACTGGGTTCAACATTACGAAGCTGGGAAATCAAACATTAATAGCCACAAATCCAAAGATCGGTCGGCTGTTTAATTCGGGATATGAAATTAAATAAAAAATTAGCCTAAGTATAAGGAAATGCATTACAATAAGCCTAAAAACTATCAAGCTGAATAGAGATTAGAAAATTCTATAGGAGCTAAAAATATGTAATTGCAAGATTAAAAGGAAATAGTTTGTTTCTTATTAAGTAATATATAAATTTAAATGAGTAAATCTTGCTATTTGAGCCTAGAAACTTACTTATGAAATATTCTATAACATGCAAACAAAATTTTGACTGTGTGATATAGTATATAATTTTTATTTGTAGTGTTCAGAAAAAAAGAAAAAAAAAACATTTACCTGTCATTTCTAAAAACGGAGCTTTTGCATGCAAATCTGATGGATTTTCGAGAGGCTCTCCCTTCCGCAGTATAAGGAGAAGTATCTGTCCTGTCCAAGTGGTTCCACATTTAGGATAGGTCACCAAGAAAAGGTCATCTGGTCGCGGTTTGTATTTGGTAGCCCCACGAAAAATATCAGCCGAAAACATTCCAGGAACTTGAAAGCCATCGATATCTTGTGAAAAGGGAACCGACGACATTTTTCGTATTCTGTCGAAAATAAGGTGTAGAAGAACGACTGATTTTTTAACAAATTTGTTTCAGTTATCTTCTCTTTAAATGATGTTTTTTTTTATAGTTACATTTGATTTTATCTCTCATGAAATCAAATGTCATGTCATGATTGCGCTATTTATCTAAGAATAAATGTAACCTTGAACTTACAACAGATTATTTCTTCTTTTTTTCAGAATTTGGCAAATAAAAGAGATGTGAAAATATCTTTTTCTGTTTTTTATCTTTAGTGATGGCAATTTCGATGAAAATAAACATAGGGTTTGCAATAGAGAAATGATACGACTCTTATGTTAATCAAAGTGTCGGTGGACCAAAGGGCAACTGTTATGTATAATTTCTATTATTAAACAAGTACTAAAAATGAGTTTTTGATAGTACACTACTTCTTATAAATATCTATATATGAAGATAGGTCAGAAAAATTCACGAAACCTCTTCTTCTATGCTGAAATAAGCGTCAACCCGGAAATAATACCTCTTCAGAATACAAAACGGGATAACGTTGTGGCAATCAAGATTATGCTCAATTTTTTAATTTTGCTCACAGTTAAAACTTTTGCTGCGCAAATACCAATTCTTATTTGTTTGTTACAATTGCTTATGTATAATGGAATCCAAAACCATTAAAGATTAAATTCTCAGAATTAAAAAATTATATGCTGAACAAGACTGCCAACTTTCCTCTTTTTCTTGAAAAAATTACTTTTAGCTGTAGAAAAGATGTTGAAACGAATGTTTCTTTCATGTAGTAAAAATGAATGAATGATATTTTTCTTACCGTTACGTGTGAATGATTCAAAATTTCATCTGACAAGTCACATTGTATCAGTTTTCTGGTGGTTAAGCTTTGAAAATATTAATAAATTTAACCAATATTCTGAAAGCTTTAGCTTTTAATTATCTGCCACTCTATAAAATATTTATAAATCATTCATTAAAATTTTGTTTATTTAAACATTTATCTTTGTTTTACTTTAACAAAAGATAAATATTATTAAATGTCATTTTGTTGTTATTAAATGTTATCGTATTTCTTTTATAAAATAAACGTTATTTTGAAAGGTAAAACTTTTCTAACACGGACTTTATTATCATTTTAACGAATATGCTAAATTCACTGTTTTGTATTTTATCTTCTTTGTTATTAAGTAAAGCTAATATTATTCATCATGTTTTTCCGAAACTTAAAGTATACCATATCCTATGTTCTAAAAAATTTTGAAAACAAGTTCTACTTTCAGCAAGATGTGGCGCAGTTTAAGAAAAAAAATTAACAGGTGTTTAAACATTTTTTAAAGGCTTGAAATGCTACCGAAAACATAGCTTAATAGTTTTTCTACTCGATCATCAGTGCTCTTTTGCAGAAAAATACCGCAGTTAACTGATAGTAAAGATTGCCTTTCCCAATAGAACACCGAAGTCAAGCATCACTATCTGCGGTCAGTAAGAGGGTGGGTGACCACTTTGATTAACCGACGTATATAAGACTTCCGACGTATATAAAGTACATACATAAAGTTCCTACCTTTTGTTGAAAAATATTTTAACTAATTTTAGAATTTAATTAATTTTAGTTATTTAGTTAGAATTAACATTATTATTTTTTTTTATTTATCAGAAAGCAGCAAACCACACTCTCAATCTAGGGTCTTCCTTTTTTATTTCTTCATTCATTTTCCAAATTTTCGATAATTTTTGCGTATATCTCCTCCGAACAAATTAACCATGGACGATTGCAAATTGAAAAGAAATTGAACAACAAGATAAACATATTTACATGTATTGCTTCATATACATATTTACATGTATTACATATTTACATGTAATAAACATTAATTACATGTATTGCTTCCAGAAATTCGCAATTTCGGTTCCCTTGGTACGCTCAGCAAACTTTTCCTCCAATCGACGACTTTGATCCTCGGAAAAATAGTTCTTCCAATCACCAATGATTCCTTTTCTTACAAATTGAGCCATACTGGGACCTTCTTCTTCTTTTCCTTCTAAAGAAGCTTTTAATTTATCCTTCTGCTGCACTAACATATGCTTCATAGCATCTGGTAAATTTGATTTTTCTAATGCTTCTGGGGACATCTCTGCTACTTCTGTGAAGCTTCTTGTCATGAACTGCTTCGTTTCTTTTAAACTGCTGTACTTCTTAATATTTTCTAAGATTTTGGGGTCTTTTCGAATGGGTTCAGCATACTCTTCATCGTCAATAAAAGATGCCATTTTCAAAATGGCAGCGTCAATGTCTTCTTTGAGTTCTTCATAAGTGACAAACAATACGTTCGGATCATTTCTGAAAATATTGCAATATATAGGATTATTCAAGCATTAATATCTGTAATTAATAGCCTTAATGAAGTACTAAATAATTATAAAAAATAA